AGCAGCTTTGGCCAGCTCTGCATGTGTGGCGTCGTGCCCTGCACACGGGTGGCTGCTGCTGGAAGCAGGGCAAAGCCAGAGCCCTCGGCGGCCACTCCGTTCCAGCCTGAACGAAAGACAGAGCAGCCAACGATGGAGGGGAGAGAGGAGCAAACGGACTTGCCGAAACTCTTCCTTAACCACCCATTGCTAATTAGGATCCACTGAAATTCCCATCGTAGAAGAGGTAGAGTGATCTGCAAGCGAGAAGCCCAGCTCACATGGCTACTGTTGTTCTTCTCAAAGAAAAACAAAGCAAAATGAAACGAAATGCACTTTGCCTGCCGGGACCCTCCACCTCTGAGCACATCTGGAGGGGTTCAGGTGGAGGGTCAGCACCCAGCAGGATGTGCAGCCGGCCAAGAACAGGAGAGGGGTGCGCAGCCGGCGCTGGGTGCTCCCAGGCTCCCCCCTGCCTGCCTCTGCCCGCACGTCCCAGTCCCTGCTGCCTCCTCAGAGCAAAGCTGCAACGTGGCTCTGAGCAGAGCCTGGGAAACAGGGCAAGTTGAAAGCCTGTAAATACTAAATGAACCTACTTCTGCTGCATTTTCTGCCCCAGTATGCCCCTTTTTGTTGAAGGTAACAATAATCTTGCTGAAATTGCAGCAGAGCTGCTGTGCTCATGACACGGATGCCTGGTAATGAAAGCCAACAGTGACGCATTCACTATCGCTCAATAAAAAAGACAGCAATGAATAAATTGAAACCCCAAATCAGTTTGGGGAAATCGCAAGCTGTTGCTGGAGAGAAGCTGAAGGCACAAGAAGATGGGTGACAGGTTCTGCTTCAGCTTGCAGACTCATCTGGAAAACGATGGAGGGAAGAAACAGGAAAAAGAGAGATACGTTCTTCTGGAAAAAAATACCGTGTTCTCTCAAATGCTCCTTAGATCTCGCTCTCACAGACATGAAAACCAGTAGAAGTTACCGTCCTCCCTTTCTTTGAAAATTATTATTAATGAAATATTAATAACAGAATTAACAAAGTGCTTTTAGGAATACATTTTATCTCATATGTAAGAACTTTTTGAAAACCATTGCATTTATTCAGCATCCCAGAGTGTAGTTGTCCTTGTTTCAGCTGGGATAGAGTTAATTTTCTTCCTAGTAGCTGCTGTGTTTTGGATTTAGTATGAAATAATGTTGATAACACATATCACTTTAGTTGTTGCTAAGAAATGCTTATATTCAGTCGAGGACTTTTTCAGCTTCTCATAGAAGCTGAGAGACAGGACAAGCTGGCCAAAGGAATATTCCATACCATAGATGCCATGCTCAGATATAAATGCGGGTTGGCCGGGGGCAGCGATTTGTGATCGCTGCTGGGGATGGGCTGGGCAATCCATCACTGGGTGGGGACCAATTGTATAGCATCACTTTTTCATATATTCTCTTGCCATTATTATTATTTTCTTTTCCATTACTGTTTTATTAAACTGTCTTTATCTTGACCCACAAGTTTTGTTTTTTTCCTTTTTGTCCCTCTTCTCCCTACCCTACTTGGGGGGGGCTGTGAGTGAATGGCTGAGGGGTCCTAGTTGCTGGCTGGGGTTAAACCACAACAATAGTAAACATTTCTTCAGCAGCTTACAATGAGTCCAAACAAGTTTTTCCCCTCTTGACTTTTTTTGTTTTGCTTTGTGTTTTCATTTCTGTTTGGGTTTGTTTTGTTTTTTTTTTTATCTATATATATATAGATAAAAAAAAGCTGTCTCCTTCCAAATGAAATTGGAATTGAATTTCTATTCAAATCCTCCTAAACTTAATGACTGCAGCAAGGCTCTTAATGAAAGTACCCCAACCCCAGAACAGAGCTCGCCCACAGCTTGGGAACTGAAAGCCAAGGGCTCTGCCAGGAGGCTGCCGGCAGGGAGTGAGGGACAGGCATCCTCTGTGTGTGAGGCTCCTGCGGCAGCGCCCCGAGCTCAGCCCCAGCCCCGCCATGCCGAGGGGCTCTGTCCTGCGAGAGAGTGAGGAGGGACTTTCATTGGGCTGCTGCAGAGCTACATCTGCTGCAGCACACACGCATCACTGCCGCACAGCTCTGTAGGTCAAGAGGAACGTGCGCTAAGTAACACTGTGCTCATTTAGGGATTCAGGCCACAGTCAGTCCTAGCATCCTGCTTTGCATTCTCATGTGTGGTGAGCACGTCCCTCTAATTACCCCTCCTTCCCCTGCAAATCAAGAACTCCACCACCCCACAAGCTACTCTGCTCTTTTCAAACCTCACAGTCAGGCAGAGCTTCACCAGGCACACCTGGGACTCGGCTTCTGCTCAACAGAAACAGCACGTGGCACAAAATCCACCGAGTTCACAGCCTGCATGGACCGAGCCCACAGTTTAGCCTCCGTGAATATGATCTAATGTGAAATGAAAAAACAGACCACCCCACGTGCCCTCCCCCTTAAGCAACGCCTCCGCCTCCCTGATATCATCCGTGCCCTTCCTAGCGCTCGCAGCAGTCTCAGTTACGCTGGTTCCTTTACACGCTCACCAAATCAGTGCTGCACCCCCAGCCGTGAACTCTCACCGGCTCTATAGCTTTTGAGCAGATTAAGGTTCCATGGCCAGGGCTGAGAAATGGGTCAGCTCAGGAGATCTTGGATCCTCCGCTTTTATTCTTGATGTCTACACAAACATTTATCAACAAGTCACGGGAAGAACGACAATGCCTGCAGCTAGCAGGGGAAGGTGGCTGGAGGGAGGGGGGCTGCAGCAGGTCCTAGTGAGACCCCAGGGGCTCCCCTGTGCGGAAGCGTGCCATCTGACTGAGGAGACTCCATTCATCCCCGGGAAAACGGGTTAATGCAGACTCAGATGTCTTAGTCAGACTGACTGGCTGCTCTCCAGCCAGAGTCATCACAAAGACCCAATTCAAAGGCTCTTCCTATCTGGCTTCAGCATCTTGCAAAGAGAACAGAAAACATCTCACTGGAGGCGACTCTGCCAAAATATGGGAAACGAAGCAGAGGGCACAAATTCTCTGTGTCATGTCTCTGGTCTGCTCCACAGCCTGGCCCCAGCCTCTCTCCCCTTGGTGTAAATCAGGAAGGATCTACTCGGGTGATGCCAGCCAGTGGAGGCACAGCAGAAATGGAGAGGGACAGAGCACTGTTGTGAGGAGCCCTCATTTGTATTTCACGCCTTCTGCTGAGGGATGCGAATGACCCAGAGGAGCTCTGCAGGCTGGCAAGTGAAGGAAGGCTTTGTGCCCGAGGCGATACCCAGAGGATGCAGCCCAGTGGGGCCTGGGCCAGCGGTGTAGCGCAGGCTCCTGTCAGGAAATCATCGGAGGTGAAGGCAAGCCTCTGGAGTGGGCAGGGGCTTGCTCCAAAACTCACACCCACTCAAGGCTGCAGGGCAGCAGCGGAAAAAGCGTTACCTCCCTGTGCATCCCCTGTCAGCGTGGGCAAACCTGCAAACACGGTGGGGTGCAAAGCGCTCCCCTGCAAGCTCCTGCACAACAGCACTTCTGCTGAGCCACGGCAGAGCCCTTTTCTCACCAAGGAAGGGCTGTAAGCTCCCAGGTGAACCAGTGTCAGCACTCGGAGCAAGCCCGCTGCAGGGTCTACGGCACCAACCGTGCCGAGACACGTGCCTGTCAGCTGGGCACCGGCCAGCTCCGGAGCAGGAGGCAGAGTACGTGACCCCTGGGTGGGAGGTGGCATGGCTCTTGGAGCAGAGAGCGCTCCGGACTGTAGATTTAGTAATCCTTACACACCTGAAAGGCTACTCGAGAAGAAAACAGCCTGAAGGACATTTTAATACTGTCATCTTAACATTTGCAGACCGTTGCCCTCTTGACTTAAGTGTTCCATAAACACAGAGGGGAAAATAAGCTTGACCTTGTCCTCGTGACTCCTTCCCCATGACTCTTTTCTGAATATGTGCTGGCCCTATTGTTAATGCAGACAGATCAATCAGGAGGGAGTTTTCTTTCAGTCCTGGGCACATCCACGTCCTCCTAACCCAGAGGCGTGCTGCAAAACCTGCCAGCGAGGAGGTGAGGAGGCTCTCCCCCTGCGCCCGGTGGGGAAGCGCAGGCAGAGCTTCACCAGCACAAAACCAATGGCCGCGGCTGCTGCCTTCACCACGCTCACGCTGCTGCGGCTTCTCAGAGAGGCGTTCTACACACACAGTTGTACAGGGGGATTCTGAAAGGCAGGATGGTGATCAAGTATCGTTTCTCAAATCCTGTATTTATTAAACGTCAAAGACTCCAGATGGGCTGGGCTGAATCCAAGCCCCAAGTGTTCTCCAAAACATCTCCATTTCTGAGCTGGTTCAGAGCCAGCCCCATTTCAAGCTGCCGCCGAGTACCGTGGAACCTGGACTTCTTGATAGCAGACAAGGGAAAAATAATCTTTTCTGCCCAACATGTGCAAGACTTGCTTTTTATAGTTTGTTTCTTTAAAAGTTTGGTCCATCTGAAAGGCTCGTTAGATGCTTTATTTAAATATTTCATAACAAAAGCCCTATGACTATAATCAAGTTCTGATTGCTGGCCTCCACTGCTCTCCCTCCCTCCCGCTCTAACACACGCTGATCTGAGGAAAGTATTTAATTCTCAATAGCAGTGAATGAACAAAGGGGAGAAGAGAGAAAGAAGCAAGGAGTATCTCCTGATCACCGGTCGAAACAAGCACTCCTTGCTCAGGACGGAGACAGTGTTGGAATTAGGCCAGAAGAGAACCCAAAGAATTCAGGAAAAGGTTTTGGAGCCTCTTATGATTGAAAAATCAGACTAAAAGTCACAGCACAGACTCTCTCGCGCCAGCAGCTGAAAGCCAGCATTAAATGGGGAAGTTTCTGAGAGCATGAAGTCGAAACGTAGTACAACAATTACCTCCTTTTTAAAACCACCAACAAAAAAAAAACAAAAACAGGAGAAAAAATTGAATTCAAACGTAGTAATAGAAAACAAGTCTGTTCAAATTTAAAACAAAGAAACAAGCCTTACCTTGGTGAACCCTATTTGCTCCTTCCGAAAGTTTTCCAAAGGTTTGATCAGCAAATCACTAGCATTCTGTACCTACACCACAAAGAAAGAAACAGTTTCATTACAGGACACAGATTAGTTTTCTCCTAAATAGAGACTGAACAGGGCTAGAAGCCAACAACTCCTAGATTTTAATGCCTCTGACTGCAAACTTCTTCTCTGTCTGTAGGTGAAGTCACAACCTATCCATACCCCCTTTTCCCATCTGTAATACACAGAAAACCCCAATCACGACACACAAGGCTTCAGGGACATCCTGTAGATGACAGTCAGGTTTCCCCCAGCCTGCACTTTCCCTGCACTGCTGTGCAGTGAGCCATTGCCCTCTGCCTCAAATGCTGTGTTACTCCCACCAAACCCCGGGCACCAGCTTGCCAGAGCAGCAGCCCTCTGGGACACCAGTCCCCCCACCCCCAGTCCAGCCTGCACCAAGGTAGGCTGTGTTCCTGCCTGTCTCTCCAGCCTCAGAAGAAAGCTAGGATGGACGCTCACAGATCTGTAATGTGCTTTCACTGCACAGATCCAGTTGCCCAGCCCAGCCCTGCGCTGTGTCGCTGGCATGCTGGAGCGAGCCCCCGAGGAAGCACAGCCTGCGTGGCCACTGTGCCACAAGCAGGACAATCCCATCAGTGACAGCATCTGTCGCCCATCCCATTTTAAGACAACCACTGTCCCTATCGGACATGGGAAGGGCTGAGAGAATTGATGCTCAAAGTGTGCTGGCTGCTGGGTAAGCCCTCACTAGCAGCAGCCCCAGGAGGCAAGGCTGTGTGTTTATCTCTCCGAGAACCACAAACCAGGACTAAATATATTCTCAAAGCACACTAGAGACTACTAATCACTTGTCAGCTCAGCTGGGTCCCTGCCTGCAGCAAGCTGCCCTGCCTGCTCTACGGGGAGGGAAGGGAAGCAGAGAAGATGTGCTGCTGCAGCTGCTTCCCCTTTGCCGCTGCTGCCGGCTCCTCTGCTCCGGACAACCCGGCCGCACTCCCTCCTGCCACCCAGGCACAGCACTGCACTAGTCCTGCGTTCCACGACAGCATCCACCCTTGTCTCTAATGCAAAGCCGTGATGAGTAAAATCCCAGAGGCTGAGACGTGTTGAGTCTCTAGCATCTCCCAGTGAACACAGCAGATGCTCATCCTGGTGAGTGCACTGCCAGAAAGCTGCTGCTGCGGTCCTAAAAAGAGGTGTTTTCCAAAGCGAAACAACCCGTAAGAGCTCAGCAAGGCCCGATGGGCAGGAGCCGCTTCTCAGAGAAGGTGTGACGAAGGTCCCAAACTCCCGTGAGCGGAAAGGAGGGCTGGGGCAGGCTGGGGCTGCCTCCCTGCCATGGCTTTCTCATGGTCTGGCGTTTCTCATCACAGACAACATTGGGTTTGATGACCCCAACAACATGGCTCTCAACGAAAAGATGGACTTTCCTTCTCCTGACATCCAGCCAAAACAGGAATGACAGCAGGTTATCTATCACAGTGATAGAATAACAGTAATAGCTAGGGAAAAAGGAAAGCCCGCCTGTGCCTATTGCAGTCCCATCAGATGTCTGAAAGACACTTTCCTGGGACATGGTCTGCGCTCCCTCTCCATGAATCCACAGGCAATCTCACTCCAGTTCATATCACTGGCTCCTGCTTAACCTTGGTATTCCCATCCCCGCTTCTACTGTGACAGGCTCTGTCCTGTGCTCCAGAGAAGGAAGAGGGGAAGAGAAGGGGATAACAACACGACACTGCCACAGCGCTTTCAGGTAATTTAAAGCTGAGCAACATGGTGAGACTGTGAAACCTTCTGAGTGAGCACTGTAAAGAGACTGGCCCTCCAAGTGGAGGGCAAAAAAAAATGAAATTTAGAAAGTTGGACAGCATCCCTAAAAGCATCCATGATCCCTGAAATGATCCCTTCCACCCACTTATCCACTATAAAAGGTGCAATTGTACCTTGGATGTAATTAATAAAGAAATATCTTACTGCTTTCCTCCAACCTCTTACTGGTTTCCTTCAGCCTCTTACTGGTTTCCTTCCGATCCCTGCCTGCCTGCGGACCTGCAGAGCGGACTGTGGCGTCCCGCCGGCACAGCCACCCCTGCGGTGCTGGCCCAGCCAGCAGCCTGGCACGAGCTCTCAGTGCTGCACGAAGCAGAGGAAAGCAGAGCCAAGCAGCACATTCCTGGCATGCTGTAAAAGCTCTCTACCGAGCCTAACCTTCATGTTTTTCCTGGAATTAGGAGTGTAACAGGAAGCCAACACTCGCTCTGGAGGAGCTCTGGAGAAGCAGAGGGCACAACGCAGCGGGATATCGAAGGCAGCGCATCACCCTGCGGGAGCTGTCCTGGCAAAGGCAGGGGTACAGGGGGACCTGCGTGCTTGGACCTGGCAAAAATGAGGCTAAAAATACACCTCGCTTCTTATTCTTTAGCACTTCGTTTCACAAAAAAACCCAGCTTGTTGCCAGCTCAGGCACACCTGGCTCTGCAGAGCAAACCAGCTGCAGATGGCAGAGTCCTGGGGCTCCGTGACTGCCTGGCATGCAGGAGAGGTGTGGGACACTGTGTGGGACAACCTCTCCCCCTCCCTGCCCCGCACCTCCCCTTTGCTGCTCAGGACATGCAGCGATGGCACTGTGGATCAGACGTGCTAAAAAGCACAACGTCCTGGTGCCCCCAGCCTCCCTCCGATAGGAAGCTTCACACCAACGTACATGGTGCCATTCGGCCGTGATTTAGCATTTAAACATTGCGACTAGGTAGTGATTACCAGAGCACAGTTCAGATCATCTTACCATCATAGACCTCTCCAGCTCTACCTCGTGGAGCAGCTCTGCAAACTCCTTAAAGGACTCGGCTGTAAAGAAAAGAAGAGGCTGGTCAGTGGAGCTGGGATGTGGCACCAGAGCATGCGACACACGCTGCGGTACCCGAATCTGGCTGCAACCCCAGCATCACTGTCTAAAGGCTTGCCAAAAACCAGAGAAGAGGTGGTCCCTTTTGGCAGAAATTGAGTTAGGCAAGGCCATTGGTAAAGGCTGGCCACAAAGGGTATTTATTTACGCACTGGAGAAGGGGATCTCCTGCCTGGAGCAATGAGGGAGATAACGCCCTGGGAAGAGAAGACTTAATTAGCTTTCATTAGGAATTGTACTGCAAAGCCAGTAAGGCGGGCGGCGGGGAAGGGGCAAACGAGGGGAAGGGGCAGCCGCCAGCACCAGGGACCGCAACAAGATGGGCTCTGCCACAGCGGGGGACCGCGGGCAGGACGGGGCTGCCTGTCCCGCCTGGACGGCTGTTGGCAACACTGCAACGTGCCCGGCACCTCTGCCCGAGCTGGGAAGAGCTGCAGGTGCTTTCTAGGGCCAAGACAAGTCCGTAAAATGAAAACAGTCCAGAATGACAAAGATTACATTCAGCGACAAGAAGCACAAAGTCCATGTACCTACGAAGAAAAGGCAGCAGGTGTAGAAATGTTCATAGACATTGACACCACTCCCCGAAATGTTAAAAATTAAACAAAAAGATCTCATTGATACGCACTTTTCTGGGAGTCCAACTACAACAAAAATAACATGAAACCTTTCCTTGAACAAACTGCAACAACAAGGTTTATTTAGCCTGGTGAAAAAAAAGAGACTAGGTAGGAGTAGTTGACTCTCCCCACACCAATAGGTTTACCACCAAGAGGGAACGTTCAGCCCACCAAAGAAGAACACGGGAAGGGGCTGAATTCGTAGCAGGGAAGAAAACCTCTCTCACCAGAAGAGCACTCACAGCACTGAAATGAGGAGGACTGCAAAAGTCTCAGTTCTCTGGGAGGCTCTAAGACAAGGCTGAGCAACCATCTGCCTACACATACAGCATGGCTGTCTGCTGAACGCCTGCAGGGAATAAGCTGATTGCCCCACTGTGTCTGGGAACTACCTGGGAGTTAGCTGGGACAGGTTCCCATAGTGCCACTCATCACCTGCCAGCTGTGGGAGCAGCACTCTGCTTGGCGCACAGCTGGCCCTGCTCGCAGCAGCGCTGGGGAGAGGTCCAGTGGGCCTTGTGCTCACCCTTCCATTGCCATGTATAAAGCACAGACTGGCTCGCTTTGTAAAACTTACCGGAGTTCTTGCGCTTGCAGTTCAGACCCTGCACTCTCTGCAAAGCACGCGGAAACACTTGACCACCGCTGAGCAATTTAAAGAACGTCTGAGAATGAACCAAAGAACTTCAGAAGTGCCTGGCTAACAGCAGAGCCCCTGAGCATGGTGACATCCAGAGCTCCAGCACGGCTGGCACGGCAGGGGTAACACATGAAGAAATAAATCAGGCGTATAGTGGGGCACATACAGCAATAGCTCATCCCACGGATAAGGGGAGAGGATGCATTTGTGCTCTGTCTGCAAGTGAGAGCCCTCTCCCCTCATCCACAGGTGGTACCTTAGGAGAAGTACCCATCCTTCTGCTAAAAACCAGCAGTAATGCTCCTACACAGCCAGTGAGTATGAGCTTCCAGTGTTAGAGGATTCACTTTGCAGTTGCTGAGACAGACACAAAAGGGAAAAACCACAGCCTCGTGACACAGTCCCTCAGCTGGCATCATCAAAACATAACCTTCTTGATGAGTCAGTAACTTCTGTGTTCTCTTCCAGAGTGAGGGCTCCAGAGCCCAGCACATGCAATGTCCTAATAGTTTATTGTGCTCGACCACAGTGCCGACACACTGACTTTCACTGTGGTTACTCAGGACAATGTTAAACCTGAAGTGCGCGCAGACACCAGGAGCCTGAGCCACGAAAGGAATTATCACAGGGAGAAAGAGAATCCAGCTCTGAACTTCTAGGGAAAATAACAGTGCCTAAAATTTTCACTAGATGTTTTTTTGCCTTGCTCTACAGGAAGAGCGCAGGCACACATTGCCTGGCTGCAGTCGCAGAGCAACCCACTGAATTCGTCCTTGCACCACAAACACATGGCTCAGGCTACACCCTGCTGCCAGACCAGCGGTGTCCAGGAGCATCGTGTTGGACCCACGCTAGTGACCTGGGTCATGGCTTGGAAACCCTCACAGAGCAGAGCAGAGCAGAGGGGGCTGCCTGCACCCACTGCCCATCACACCTGAGAACTGGCTGCGAGTGATTCAGCTGGTCACAGACAGGAGCACGCCAAGAACATCAGCTGCCTAAAAAAAGAGGATTTCGGGTTCCCGTGCTTGGGAGGGATGAACACTCTATCTAATTTCATCACTCTGTTCATCTCTGAGGGAGCTGCTGCTTTGGGTCCCATGCGGGTGACTGGTGGAGAGACCACAACAACTGTGTGACACGGGTAGGTCTGTAACAATTAACGTCCCTGGGTCAAAGCACTGCTCTCGACAGACAACATCAACCCAGCGCCTGTGTCCTGACTCATACTTGCAGTGTTCAAAGCCACCACCTGACGTGCAGGGGTGTCAGCCTGCTCTCTGCCTACATAAAAAGAAAGAAGTGCGCCATTAGTTATATTTACAGGTCAAACAGGTTCCCTGAAGTATGATAAGAAGTGTTTGTGAATGTTTTGCTTCATTCCCATATCCTGCGCATCAAATGAGCTCCTACGCTCCCACGCAGATCTCTGGCACCCTCGCAGGAGATGGAAGCTGTTACGGAGATGTCAACGCCCTGCTGCTGTTTGAGGAATAAGGCAGCCTTGCAAAGCAGCTCAGCCCCAGCAGGCGCTGCAGGGTTTGGTGCAGGAGGAGGAACACTGCACGGGCTTTTTCACAGGGTAAACCAAGGAAAAAGCAAAACAAATATTCCCCAACAAAAACAGAAGCAGGGAAACGCCCTTGTTTCACCACGAAGTGTTTTACATTTGCTGTGATCTCTTCCTGCTGTACTCTGCCCACGATCCCCCCGTTCAACCTCTGCCATTTCCAGAAGTCTTCCTCACCCGCCGAGTGGTGCGGCCACACCGCAGCGGCTCACCGCAGCCCTGCCGCACTGGCT